TATTTCTACATCTTATGTTTTATCAAAGTCATGTGCTGGTTCATACCTCTGCACAAAAGATTTATGTTTTACTCTTTTTTCTTCAAGTAAAGCAAAACCTAATTAACATTACAGTTTGTACCAGGTTTTTCCACAAGTCCACTATTTTCTTTTTAAACAAATAACCTGCAACAAATTATTCTTATTTTTATGTTAACTTTAATTGCTAACAATGACAATTTTTCTTTTACTCTTATTAAAAATAAATAATATTTAGACAATTTTAAATATTTTCAAACTTATTTTATGTGTCACTTTTGCCAATATTCTTTATTGATCATCAGTGAATGTTTGTTCCTGTATTTTTTATATTTGACTAGTTTGCTTTAAATAAGTAATTTTGTAATTGTATTGTACTTATTGGTAGGTCTTCTGCTCGGAAGGTTTGTTCTCTGTGTTGGGTTAGACAGTTTTTCTTTCCAGATTCTAACTTACACATTTATAAGGCTACCATTTGTAAAGCATTGAATATTGCTGTCACATCTGGCCTGGTGCTTCTGCTATGTATTTAGAGACTCTAGATAAAATACTGTTATATATTGTACCTATGAACACTAGTGGGTGTGTCCCAATCCTCAAAAATACGTTGGACACTATTGTAAGTGGAGGGGGATAATATGCTGTCTAAGTAGTCCACCACTAGCAGTGGTTTACCTACTTCACACTGCTGGCGAGTATTGTATTTTGTTGATGTTATAAAGATTACCATTTCATTTCCAACCTCCATTTTGGTTATTCCTCATTCAGTAACCTTTCCTAGGTTACAACAAATACAAAGAAAAATCTGCAAAATTATTGGTCCTGACCTGGTATCTCAGCTTCAGTCACTTTCCCAACATCATAACATAACTTCCCTGTAACTTTTCTATAAATATTTTCATGGTAATTGTTCCAGTGATCTTTTCTCTTTAGCACCTTGACTTTATGAATTTAAGCACTGTACTAGATTGGCAGATAGGTCTCATCATTTCATAGTTGAAATGCCTAGATGTAACTGCAAGTTTTGTCTTAACAGTTTCTTCTATCGCACTTCTCGCTTGTGGAACTCTCTTCTGGCTTCTTGCTTTCCAGTCAACTTTGATATTTAAAAGTTTACATGCAATGTCAATTCCTGTTCCTACTCCTTCATAATATTTTCTTTTTCTCGTATTCTCTAACATTCAGTAATCCTCTTGCATCTTAGTGGCTTTATTGCCTTACTTGAAATGAAATGATTAAAAAAAAAAAATAAAATAAATATTTCTAAACAGATAAGCCACCATTGCCAACACAAATTAGCAATCTTTCATGAAAATTTTGAATAGGATTTTGACATATTTCAGGTATTAACAATATTATCTTTTATTCAATTAAATTCTTTAAATCCTCCTCATAAAATCTATTTATTACAAAAATCCCAGCAGTAACATCTAGCATTATGAAGATGTAGCCTTATGCTCTACAGGAGAGCCTACAGGGTTAACATACATACATATGAAGTACATATCTGCAATAAATGTATAGAATACAGCATTCATCTGTTTATATACAAAGCATTCGCCTTTTGGCAAACTAAATATATCTAAAAGTTTATTGCACAAATAATATATTTCCACAGGCATATAAATATATATGATATACTTATTAATTTTTTTTTCAACACAGCCTTGTCTATATACTGAAGGAAGATTTACAAAGAAATTCAACTTGCGGGAATATCAATTTAACTTGTTTGTTTTTTAAAATAAAGCCTACAAGGGGATTTTCAATTCAATTCTTTGTTTCCATTTATTACTTACTGTGTCCTTTCCATTTGCTTTTCATCGCCTGAACAACCTTACGGCTAGAAAACAAATAAACAAAAGTGAATTGCACATTTCCTGTTTGCTACTTACCAGTTCTTTTATTTCCGTTTTAACCCCCACCTCAGCCCCAACAACTGTGTTTACTTCAGATTCCCTCTTGTCAGTGTAAATGTTAGAAAACTTACCTTGCAGTCGAACTTGAAAATTACAATCATTCCCTACATTTTGGCAAACTTCAAAATTATCATCATTGAGTTCTAGTTACTCAAGAGCTCTGAGTATAGATGTTTTAACAAAGTTCTCCTTGTCATGTATACAGTTTATAAATTTTAGAAAACTGATTAATGTCACGCTGCTGACACAAGACGTGTTTTGCATAATATAAATGGCATTATTAAAGTGTGTATTCTCTCATTCTTATGTATGTTTATACTGATAGTTTGATGTAGATGAAAAACCTAAAATCCTCATCTTGTTATTACATTATTATTCTACATCTATGTACAGACATTACACTTTTCTACCTATGTTCAAAGAAGTGTAGTATCTGCCTGATCCCCAGGCTTTCACATCTTATCTGCTTGATCCCCAGGCTTTCACATCTAAACTATTATTTTTTGTATGTACAATTATCATTATAGTTTTCAATATAGGATCAAACTGATCCATCATCACTTCTGATCTGGAATCAGTTAAGCTTTTTGACCAAGAAACATATATGACAATAATAATCAGAAAGAACTGGGAAAAATTATGCGAAAAAAGAAGTATCATGGCAAAATGGTATGAGGTGAGAAAGAGAAAAGAAAAATATATATAAAATTGTATTTTATTGTCTTACTTTATGTCTTTATTGTTTTCATGGTGTAGTATATTGGTGTTGTCAACAAGTATTTTCCTGTATTGTGAAGGTGGACAAGGATGGGATTTTAGATGTTGTGCAATAGAACTACAGTGAATTCCTTGATTAATTAACATCAAGAAACTGATTAGATAATGGAAAGAATCAGTAGAAAAATAAGTAGACATAATATGTCTATATTATTGAATAAAACATGTTTGAACAAAGAAATGTTGCCTCTGTGTGTGTGTGTGTGTGTGTGTGTGTGTGTATATATATATATATATATATATTAAGACATTTTTATGTTTAACATTCTTTTTATAGATACAAATATTCAAGTAAATACTCTGTTTATAATAAACAGTATTAAACAACATTTACCGGCCTGAATGTCTGAGAAACATTTCATTTTACTTAAATATTTGTATCTATATAAAGAATGTTAAATATAAAAATGTCTTAAAATAATTGTCGGACTTTGTCCATTTCATAATATATATATATATATATATATATATATATTGGGTGTGTCAAAATAATAAATTTTTAAAATTGAAAAAAGCAGAAAGATTATTTTTTTGTGGTAGGCCACTAGCTTAAAAATGTCCATACTTAACATCATTGCCAAAAATTGCACATTTGTTTTACACATGCTAAAACCCCACCCAAACATAAAAAGTCAGATAACCTTTGAACTAAATAATGAATAGAAAAAAATGACTGCCTTTTTTCTATACAACTGTAACACAAAAAAATACAAACAAATGGTTATTTTCAAGAATAAAGCATATCTTGGCTCTATTTCAGTGGTGGAAGGACAGCAAAAAAATTGTTAAAAAAAGAGAAATTTGATGATTCCGTTTTTGATAATAGCCTAAGTGTCTCTTGCTGGGAATTCTGTAATATAATTTGATGGGATAATATCTCATTTGATTTATTTCAACCACATTTTACACACATTGTAAACCAATTTGAGATAACCAGAAGAAAGAAAAAAATAAAATACAAGTGGCTTACTGCCACATCATATTGAAATACCGGTTCCTGTATGATCACCAAAGTTAAGCAATGTTGAACTTGGTCAATACCTAGATGTGTGACTCCTTGGAAATACCAGGTGCTGTAAGCTTGAATTTGTGGTTGGTATAATACATAATGTCTCAGAATTATTAATTGGAAAGCCGCGTTTCAAATCCAGTTGTGTTTCTTATGTTTATTTATACACAAATATTCTTAAGAAAGGTATGAATTCACATCTTCCTCCTCCAGCTATGGGTTAATTAGTAGGATTTATATCACTAAATCATTATAATCTCCAAAAAATAAAATAAAATTGTGTACAAGATATTTATATTTCAGCATTAAATAACCCATACAAGTGTTGATATGGTGCTAAACAATAACAACCAACCAATCAAATGCAAGTGAACAATTTATTTCAACCAATAATCAAATAGAATTTATTTGCATATAAAATTTATGTAGAATGGTTAATAATAAAATTTAATTATGTGCAAGAGAAAAATGAAAAGAAAAAAAATTTCTATCTTCCTGTAGCAAATTGAAAAAGAAATGACAATTTTGAAATAAGATTAGCCATACATATAAACAAAGATTATGATGCGAAAATATTTAAATCAAATTTAAAATTAAATTCATATCATTCTTTTCAAGTTTGATTTCTTTTCCAGTTTTGGTTTGAATTTTAAACCCTGACAACGAACAAAAATAAAAACCTTCACATTTCACAGATCCCAAAAACATGAGTAGAAGAGTAAGAAACATCTTTTTCAAAATGTTCAACACTTTTTTGAATAAAGAATAAAGTTCATATTAAACAGCTTGCTTAAAAAAAACAAATCATCAATTTATTTCTTTGTCCATTTTGATGTCAGGATTAGCTCAAATGGAGATTTCCAATCAATATTTTGTTTTTTGCAAACCAATTTAACTGAGGAAAACGAAAGACCCTAAACTTCAGTCTCCTATTTCAGAATTGCCACGAATTTCAAGAATTTCTTTTTTTTTAATGAGCATGCCAGATCCCTATAGTTGATATGCCTCTCCATGATGTTGTGAATATAGTTTGATAGAACATCACAAATCATTGTCACATTTTATAAACATGGAGGAGACCATTCAAAATTGATGGCTTGCATTTGATATCAAGTCACATTGGATAATAAAGTAAGACAATATATTTTGCAAACATTTCAGGTTTATGGCCATATCACTTTAAAACATTAGATCCCATATGATCACTGAAGTTAAGCAATGTTGAGCTTGGTCAGTTCCTAGATGGATGAATGCTTGGGAATACCAGGTGCTGTAAGCTTGAATGTGTGGGTGGTGTAATGGATAATGGATTGAAATTGTTACTTGGAGAGCCAAATTCCAATTCCAGTTTTTGTTTGTTTTATTCATTTACATGCAAATATCCTTGAGAAAGGTATGAATCCATCTATTCTCCCCCAGCTATGGGTTAATTAGTAAGACTTGTATCACTAAATTATTATTACTCTCCAAAAAAATTCTTACAACCTAAAAATATTTTCTGGCTTTAAATAACCTGCAAAGGGTTGTTAAGCCAAAACAAACAAATCAATCAATCAATCCATGTAACAAAATGCACACAGAATTTGGCATTTCTTATTCAAACCATTTTTTGTAAATTTTTTTAAAAATTCTCCAATGTGATTTTTATTACTGATATTTTGAGCACTGCATTTTATTTTCTAAATTAAATTTGAAATAATTTTCATTCTTTTTTTTCTTTTTCTGCAAATTCATCAAATGTCCTCAACAAACAAAAATCCATCGTTTCAAGATACTTTTTTATAGTGACAATAAAATTACGTTTGCTTATATAGAGACATATAAATCGGTTTGCAGCTTTGAGCCAAAATAAGTGACTGATTGGGCCAGGTTTCAAACTCAGCAGACATTTGTCAATCTTGCCTCCCATTATCAACTTCACCATCTTATATCCTGTTGTAGCATACCTATGGACAGTAATGGGTATGTCCCCATTCCCATGAATACAGTAGTAAATACTGTATGTTGGTCTGCAGTTGGAGATTTATTGTGGAATTCACTTGACTCACTTCTAGCAGTTAACTACTTCTTCTATGTGCCACTAGTGAATGCTATATGTGTTGTTCTTGTCCTAAGTATTATCATTCATTACCAATCTTTGTTTGATTATTCTATTCAGGAGCCTTCACTAGATTACAGTAGTCACACATCTGATGAAGGCCAAAAGGCACAGTGGTCAAGATGTTGTGATAGCCACAAAAAAGATGAGGACAATAGTCTGCTTGTAAACACTATAAATAAAACAAAAATTGAGCTGAAATTAATAAAATGTAATTTCAAAAAAGATACTCCTAAAAAAAACAAGCATTAATTTGCTTAATATAAACCATTTCTATTTTGCTAGTGTAGTTTTATTTGAAATAAAATCCGTTTTTTCTGATGCTGCTGTTCAAGCAGCAAAATTTGTTGACTTGTTCTTGAGTATATTGCTAGACACTTGTTAAAGGCTTTAACCATTAAGCTCTCTCAGTAACATCAGTTAAGTCAGTCCTACTATTCAACCCATAGCTGGGGGGAGAAGAGATGGATTCATACCTTTCCCAAAGGTATTTGCATGTAAGCAAATATAAAAACCCCAATTGGAACTCAATCCTCCAATTAACAATTCCAAGCCATTATCCCATTACACCACCCATAAATCCATACTTACAACATCTATAATGCCCAAGCAGTCACTCATTTAGGTACTGACCAGGTTTGACATTGCTTTTCAATGAATATAAAAACTGGGGTTTCATTCTACTCAGTTAAAAGCCATACATGATACATGCTTGGGCGACCATATCTCTTTTGATTTATGACTGACTTGTCCGAAGATATTCCAAGAGTAGGTTGCCATTTCTCTGCAGTAAACTGGTTGCCAACTAAGGCTATAGAACCCAGTCTATCCTGCTCTTCAACTGTTGGGTGGGGGGAGAATAGATGGATTCATACCTTTCCCATGGGTATTTATGTGTAAGTGAGCGTAACTAACTTGACTGGAATTTGAACTCTACTCTCCGAGTTCTCATTCCAAGCCAATATGCATTATGCCATGATGAACATCTGCAGCAGTTACTCCCTTTTTAATCAAGGTTTGACTTTTATTTTAATAGTGTAGGCAATATATTATTCCGCCAGGTGAATTGGTTTCCTCATCAAAAGTTGCATGTTAGAATATGAGCAAAAAATAAAGACAGTCTAAACAAATCTGTGTATCTTCAATAAACTATATTAAACAGTGTTACGCATCAGTAACAAAAATCTCCAAGAAAAACAGAAAAACGATTGCCCATCTTGCCAGTAATATAAAAATCTTTGACTGTTTACACTTGCTAAGATTAAAATAAATAAAAGAGAGAAGAAAAGATTCTAAGAAAAAAAAAGAAAACATATTGTTAAAATATATAAAACGTCATTGAGCAAATAAATATAAAAAAAGAAAATAACAAAAATTATTTTAAAATATAAAAAAAGAACAAAATGATAAATAATTGCAACATAAAAAAGTCAAAAAATGGATGATAAAATATAAAAGAAAGAAAACCATATTAAAGAAGAAATAAGGAAATATATTAAATATATTTTATGTGTTTTGTTTGTATTATGACATTAACTGCTCCCTAAATAGGTAATTAAAACAATATATATGTGTGTATGTGTGTGTGTGTGTGTGTGTGTGTGTGTGTGTGTGTGTGTGTGTGTGTAAAATGAAAATTTTTCAGCCATTTTTTTTAGGAGTCGGATGAGGGTAGGGTACAGTTGTATAAATAAAGTAGTCCCATAAAGAAAACACAGGTTGCTGATTAGGTTGCATCTTCCTCATCCAAGAAAATATAAACAAGGGAAAAAATAAACAGATGTGAATATTGGGAGAATTAAAGAAAGAAAAAAAATGGTACAAGCAGAAGACAAATGGAAAAGCTTGGAAATCCCCATAGGAAACAAAATGATAGGTTGAGATGTCCGTGGAAAGGATTATAATAATGATTGAAACCAAGTCCCCACTACATATATATCTATATATGTATGTGTGCGTATATAAATATAGATATGTGTTATTTGTTGCTGATATCTGAGATGATGTATTTTGTTTGCGTTCTGAAGTAAAGACAAAAATGAGAACGAAAGAAAACGCAAGATTTGTAAAAATTATTCAGCTGTGAAGCGAACGAAAATGAAAAGCTATGGTCGCTCAAAAAAAAAAAAAAAAGAAAGGAAAAAAATTAGAATGACAAATAAAAAATAAAAGAAAAACACAAACGATAAAAAAGGGAATATAATCTTCACAATGTCCTGTTAACTGGATGAAAGGGAAAAAAATGGAAAAAAAAATGATGAGGTGTTGATGAAAAAGAAAAAAAAAAACTTTAAAAAAAAGAAAAAAAAAACAGTGCCCAAACACCCCCTCCCCCGCAAAAAAGACAGTGTTTCTAAAATCAACCCAAATCATCGGATTCAATCCCATCCAATTCCCCAAACACATTACATATGTACAGCTGAGTGAATGTAAGTTTCTCCTGGGTAATAGCAGGGGAGTTGGCAACAATAAGCCGCTATATTGTACACACGCTCAGCATCATACGTCTACATGTAGTTTTATTAATCCTTCAGGAATGTGATGGGCAGATTGAGTGGTGTCTTAGTCAATGAACAGATGGACATTTCAGTAGAACTGGTCATCAGTGATGGCAGCCAGCAAAAACAAAATATTCGACCAAAGGAAATATGTTTTCAGAAGATGAGAATTTGGGAACGCTGACAAAAGATAAAGAAGAATATGAAAATGGGAAAAAAAAAAAAAAAAAAGAGGTATTTAAAGATTTGAAAGAAAAATCTGTGACCAGAAGCTGGACAGTAGATATCAATTTTAGACTGGTTAAGTCATGACATGAAAGAAAAGGGATCTTCTTTTTCTTCTTTTTTTATGAATATATATATGCAAGATATGTTCTGGAAAAATGAACATAAAAAAGCAGTATTTAGTGTACTGAGAAGTTACTTTTTGTTCTACACAAACAAAATCAATTCAAAAGTTTATTTGTTATGATAAATTTCATTCAGTTTTAAACAACAACTGTCGGTTATAAATTTTTTTAAAGAAAAAGCAAGAGACAACTGTTATTCTAGAACTGTATACTCCTCAGTATATATAGTATTAGAATAACAAACAAAATCAATTCAAAAGTTTATTTGTCATGATAAATTTCATTCGGTTTTAAACAACAACTGTCGGTTATAAATTTTTTTTAAAGAAAAAGCAAAAGAGACAACTGTTATTCTAAAACTGTATACTCTTCAGTATTAGAATAATAGATGAAGAAGAAACTTGTTTAGTACGTTTCTTCCTAAATTTGATAACATTTTTATTGATGTAGTGTTTTTAGGTGTTTTATGTTTAATATATCTAGTGTTTGTTTTCTAGAACACTTTCATTTTAAACAAAGAAATGAGTTTTGAACTGTTACATGATATCTGTCCTCCAATATGGCAGTGAATGCCTCAAAACGCGAGGTTTGCCGTTTTTCGAATTTTTGTAAATTTAATTTCGCCGTTACACATTTGAACTAGTTTATCAACTTGTATATCGTTATAATGGGGCCTCACATCAGTGAGGGGGGCCAGTGTGCAACTGAAACGGTGCACATTCTCTCCTGATGACCCCAATTTAAAATTTGAGAGGAACACATCAAATTCAGTGAAGTCAAAAGCCGTAGTGAAGCTCGGTGGAAGTGTCATTGGCATGAGGAGCATTACACATTCAGCTCGCTTCAGGTGAGTTTCAATTACTTTCCAGTAATTTCCTTCTTCAAAATGAAGAAGAAACTTGAAGCAACAGAAATGTGATTTGACAGAAGGATGCTAAGGAAACCATGGGCCAAATATGTGAGCAACAACAAGGTTTTGGAGAGAATGGAAACAAAAAGGAAACTTATACTTAACATCAGGAAAAGACAGATGAAATTTTTGGGACACATAATGAGGAAAGAGGGCTTGGAAAATCTGATACCCACAGAACAGATAACCAGAAAGTGGGAACACGGGGGAAAGCAACACATGTCATATTTAATGGACTTGAGCAAGTGGATGGCAGAACAGGGTCTAGGAGAAATAAAAAAAAAAAGACAAAACTTATTAAGAGCTACAAGGGACAGGAGGAGGTGGGGGGCCATGATCGCCTACATCCTAAAGGGACATAGCACATAAAAGAAGAACTCTATTCTTCAGCAGTGTCCACAGGGTCAGCATTGCTCTTGTG